TTTTGGTCCTTGTTTCTGAGGCAAAACATGAGGGAATCTCAATAATCTGAAGTACGTTTTCATCTAAGTTTCCTCCTGATGGAATTCTAAAACAAGCATTCTTATACACCTACTTCCAAGATCTATTTGGATAGGACACAGGTCTCACTGAATGAGCTAGGGAAGGGAGAATTTCACAGATTTCTTTTAAGATTTGCACATTTGCCAGTATTTTAGTGGCGCAGTGGCTGGGGAGAAATTCTCACTTCGTTGTTCTGCTCTCTTTCCCTTTTTTTTTTTTTTGGTGAGACAGAGTCTTAGTCTGTTGCCCAGGCTACCTGGACATCAACGTAGCTTGCAGCAACCTCAAATTTCTGGATTTAAGTGAACGCTTTTGCCTCAGCCTCCAGAATAGCTAGAACTACAGGCACCTGCCATAACACCTGGCTAATTTTTCTATTTTCGTAGAGACAGATTCTTACTCTTGCTCAGGCTGATCTCAAACTCTTAAGCTCAAGGAATCCTCCCTCCTCAGGCTCTCAGAGTTCTAGGCCTATACGTGTGAGCCAGGCTCCCTTTTCCTACTTTTAAAGGTAATTCCCTACCTGCTCCACAAACAACCACCCACATATTCTGAGAGCTAGATATTGAGTGTTCTCATAACCAGCCAGGAATCAGTGACGACCTTTGACTGTTGTTGTAAATAGAAACATAAACCCTGTTCCTGTGCGCACTCACAGGCTGTCTCTGCAGCACTGTCCTCCACAGCCAAGGAATGTGCAGAGCTTCTGAGTCAGCAGTCAGCTGCTCCAGGACAAAGCATGCAGGATATTGTCAGCTGGCAGAGACTACAGATGCCCTGGAAACCTGGCCTCACCTCTTCTTCCTCTTCCCTCCTCTGGCTCCTCACTTCCTTCATCCCTTCCTTTCACACCTTGGCTTTTCAGTCCCCAGGATTTCTGGCACCTTCCTGCCAGGTTTCCTGGTCTCTAGATTCCTGTGATTATGAATGTTGATTGTCCTAGGGTACTGGGATGAACAGTACACAGGGGGTGGTCTAAGAGAGGCTAGGAGGAGCTGGCTTTGACCTTCAGGAATGAGGGAAATGGGGGTGGTAACAGGAATGGCCCTCCTTCTGCCATTCTTCCCAGCTATTGTCAAAAAGAATGAGAATGGTGGGTAAGTCCCCTTCAAAATGAGGCAGTCCAGTAGAGCTGCAGAGTAACGCTGTGGCACTCTGGAGTTGTCATCCTGCAGCAGTCATGTGGCTTACAAAGTAGGAAAAGTGAGGCAGCCCAAGGGAATTAATCTTGTGTAGTCTTACCTGCGGTGCCTGTCTCATTGTTCTGGGAAGCAACCTACCTCTGTTTATCTGTTGTCATTAGTGTCCTGGGTCAAAATCCCTTAGACAGGGTACCTAATACTTGCCTTGACACTGTTGTAACTCTCTGGGTGCTGTGGCTGAAATCTATTAATTTGAAAGTGTTTTACAACAACAAAAGGAGTAGGGACAGTTATTAATGAAGGTGTTCATCTGTGGTGGGGTTTGATCTGGAAATTTCTGGTCGTGGTTAGCAGCTTTTTGGAAGTGACTACTTATTTCAAACAGAGTAGGCTACAACTGACCAAGGGGATGTTATCCCACACGGGCAGAACTCTTCTTTGAAAGTAAATGCCTAAGACTGTCTTCTAGAGTAGATGTGAGCATAAGGCAGGCATTACGATGGGGGAAGGAAAGGCTTTTTGAAGTATATATTGCGAAACCTTTACTGTGTTGTTTTCAGCAAGAACGTCATGATGCTGTGTACTCTGAATCCTGGGAAAGAGTGGAAAGGTGGATGCTGTTTAGGAACAATGAAAAGTCATTTTCTTCCTTGACATGAGGTAGAGATAGATCAGACCAGGTGTAGTCAAAGCTTGCCAAACACTGTGAGTCTGGTGGAGTGAAGATTGGTTAGAAACGTAGGTAGGGTATATGGGGTCAGGATTGCACAATGTCATCTACTTGCCAAAGACCAGATAAAGCTGCTGAATTCAAGAAGTCTCCTGGTGCAGCAGATACCTTGGGATCTTTTTTTTAGTCATTGTTTGTTACCTGTTTTCCTGTGCCTTTGGATAAGCCCCTCTGGCCGTTACCACTCTTATAACCATCTATCATTTTGGCCATTTATCCTTTCAAGATAAGCTTTGGCTTGTAAAAAAAGAAGAATGAGCTCTCTTTTTTCTTTTCCTTTTTTTTTTGAAGCAGAGTCTGACTCTGTTGCCTTGGCTAGAGTGCGCAGCAACCTCATACTCCTGGGCTCAAGTGATCTTCCTGCCTTCGACTCCTTAGGAACTGGACTAGAGGCACCGGCCACAATGCCCAGCTAATTTCTCTATTTTTAGGAGAGATATGGGGTCTTGTTCTGCTTAGGCTGGTCTCAGGCTCCTGACCTCAAGTGATCCTTCCACCTCAGCCTCCCAGAGTGAATGCAGACTCTCTTTAGGAATTTTAAAGTATTGCTCTCACTACTTACTCCTGCCTAGAATAAACCTTTATTTAGAAGAAACTGAATGTTCCAGTTAATTCCATTTCATGCCGGACTCTTGACCATGGAGATATTGGGACAAGCTGTGTTTATTAACAGTACAGCTTTTACTATTCAGAGCCAGAAGGGGTTGTTGGGTAAGGGATATATTTGAGGTGAGAAGCCAAGTCAGTGTGTTCCAGGTAGAGAATTACCATCTTCACCTCGCCCTCTCAGTGTATGAATAGGGTGACCAGATGTCCCGCTTTTTAACAATTTGTCCCGCGTCCCGCGGCATTTTAAAAAAGTCCCTATTTTTGGAAAGAATGCACGAATGGATGGGAGAACAGGAAGGGAATATATGGTTTTCAGCTGCCATGTGGCTATTTCACCAGGATATGAGTTTTATATTATTTTTGTTAATTTTATAATGTTAAACTGTAATAATAAATAATTGTTGAGAAGTGATTATCGAGAACTGCTCATCAAAGTTTGCATTGTTGTCAGGCCCTGCCCTGCTCCCAGCCATCTTGTCCCGCATTACCAATGTTAAAATCTGGTCACCCTATGTATGAAGAATGTTGTATATGAAAGGGCAGTGCCTAGTATTTAGTTATTACTTTCTCTCACGAAACGTAAGATGCATCTCCAGTTGCTTTGGGTGGATCTTATGATCTCATGCTGAGGTGTGGAGAGAAGCACAATATTATTTCTGTGTCACTCAGAGGGATTCTGTTGCTCAGTGACTTACCCAGAGTAAGAGCTTCATGACAGAAACACAGGTCTCTTTTGTGTCATTCTGGAACATGGCTCCCACTCACCTTGGGTTGGTGCATGGAATAGTGGGCCCATGTCTTGCTTTTACACCCCTTCTGAATACCGTGTATCAACAACTTCCTTCCTCTCTGTGCCCCCTTCCCCAATGGTCAGTCTTCTTTAAAGCAAAGTCCCAAAACAGCTGTGTTCACGTTAGTGGTTAGTTGGTGATAGATCTGTGATGAATTGCCTAGAGCACCAGGTGTGAGTGCTGTGCCCATGATTTTCTCAGCACTGGACTTGAAGGACTTCAGGACTGGCAGTGAGTTAGGGATCTAACCAGCTTAACTTTGTCATCTTATACAGGGGCAGTTGAGGCCTTGTGAGACGAAGTGACTAACCAGGGTCATGCAGCCAGGGTCTGGCATGTGTGAGCTCAGTGCCATGGCCATGCTTGTCCCACTGCTCCAGCCTACTCTCCATTCTCCAGTGGCTTAGTTTTGCTCTCTGGCCATTTGTTTCCTACCTCCCAGTAATAGTATCTGTAGTGATGATCATACAAAAATGATGGAGCAGGGCCAAGGTGGTGAGTGGATAAGGAGCATGTATGTTGCCATCTTGTATTTTCAGGCCTCTGCCCAACAGACATATGGGATGGTAGGTGTTTGGAAAATTTTGGTAAATAGAAGTTATAGATATGATGAATGCTATTGTGAAATGTGATTGTGGGCAAAATAAAATGGCTATAAAATCTCCCCACACTGTACCACACATAGTGGCAGTACTTTTTGGGTTCTTTAAATCCCCACTGACTTTTCCACTTCTGACCTTTCTGCTTCTTAGACTTCGATGACACCACCCTTGGGTCTCTCTAGGCCTCTCTTCACCATTTCTCATAATATTTTTAGAGGGCTTGTCTTTCTCTGCCGCCGCCTCTTGGTTGGTGCTTCCTAGATCTCATCCAGAACCCACAGCTCTTTTCTCTCCACAGACTTTCCTTGTTGACCTTACCTGATTTTTTTTAAATTAAATCATAACTGTGTGCCTTAACCTTACCTGCTTTTTAATAGGTTCAGCCACCACATGTAACTCCAAATATAGATCTGTGTCAGTAGCCACTTTCTGAGATTCAGGCTCATACCCAACCACCTAGTAAGCATGTGCACTTGGGGAGTTTGAGCGGAACAGGTGGAAAGGGAGCTCCCACTGCACCCTCATGAATCCTTTGCTTATCTGGTGTTACTGTTTACTCAGCAGCCTAAGCTGGAAACCTGGGGATCTGTGAGTGACTCTTTGGTCTGCATAAGTCACTCACAGGCCTATCTGTTTTACTTTCCTGTATCCTCACTTCTTCCCTGCCTGGCTAAAGTTTATCTGAAGGACGTGGCTGTTGCCTTTTAGAGGCTCATCTTCAGTGGGGACTGTGCTTCCCCTGTGATTGATTCTCTTTCTCTGTGTCCCCCAAACCCTTATGCCTCTCTCTGTAGTATAGGCCCTTAGTATAGGACATCGAAACATTCTACTTGTGTGTCTGTCTCATCTACAAGACTGTAAGATCCTTGAAAGCAAGAAGTATCTTACCATCTCTCCATCCGCAGTGTCTGGAGAGGGCCTGGAGTATTGCAGGTGCGCAGTATATAGTTGTCGAATGAATGTTTTCACTTGGGAACCCCCATGTGAAAATGAGTATGGCCCATAGAAAATGTTTGTAGAGACAGAAATACTGACCATTTCTTTATCTTTCTCTCTTTATGTTAGGTTAACGTGACAGTGTCAGGTGGATCCACGGCCATCCCACAGCCCTCTCTGGAGGTTGCTGAGGGTGGGCAGCATGGAGGAGAGGAAGCATGAGACAATGAACCAAGCTCATGTCCTCTTTGACCGGTTTGTCCAGGCCACCACCTGCAAAGGAACTCTCAAGGCTTTCCAAGACCTCTGTGACTACCTGGAACTGAAACCTAAGGACTACCGCTCCTTCTATCACAAGCTCAAGTCCAAGCTCAACTACTGGAAAGCCAAAGCCCTCTGGGCAAAGTTGGACAAACGGGGCAGTCACAAAGACTACAAAAAGGGAAAAGCATGTACTAACACCAAGGTAAGAGTTTGGCTACTGTTAGGCCCTGGAGTCACTGACATGAAGATTTAAATGCCAAAGAAAATGATTAGGTAGGGGTAGACTGGGTGAAAACCAGCAGAGTCTAGCCACAACATAGTGTAGGAAGTCAAGATATTCTACATTGTTAAAGTTTGTGGATCCTGTGACCTACATTTATTTGACTCCCATGTTCAGATGCTATTCTAAACATACTTCATGTGTTTACATATTGAACTTTCTAAGTTTCAACTATTTAAGAGCAACCTTGAAGTTAAGTGGCATTGGAACATTTTATTTTGCTAATGCTCTCTTTGAATGTTACCCTGTTAGGAGGATGCAGGTCATGTAGCAAGGACCTAGTTAAGCCCTGTTAGCATCCTGTCTGAACGTGTCTTTCTGGTTCTTGGCATACCATCTTTACAAAGTCATCATTCTATACTTGGTAACTGGTAAGGTATAGTATTTGCCAGCTTGAGAATTTCCCATAAGAGCTTCAGACCTCTTCCTATCTGTGTTCTAATGGTCTGGATGCATAAGCGAGGCCTTTGTGAGCCAAAGTATTTCTGTTGTTTCCTCACAGTGTAGAGAAATAGAATTTCCATGAGATAGACAGGCCTATGCAGAGACATGAGATGTGCACTCAGCTCTGCAGAGGTAGATATAAGGAAGTGGAAAAGGAAAATACATTTCTTGCTTCCCTCCTTGGAAAAGCTGGCAGGGACCCAGATTTGCAAATGACTTCATGGCTATGCTGTTATGTCCTTTTACAAGCTTTAATTTGCCCTTCGTGGATACCTAGAGAGCAGCCCCCGGTGGATTTGCAATTTCATCAGCAAAATTCAAGAAATTTGAAGGCATGACTTTTATAAGTGAGTCCTGGACTTTTATTAAGAACAAAAGGAATGCAAAACCAAAAATTGCATGTCTTCTTCTGCACATACAGTGCAAACTGGTTAAGTGTCCAGTCTCATCCTGAGTACTTCTCTGGAGTGTGGATTTTCAATATCATTTTCCTCAACTTTCAGTCTAGAAATGGGGATTTTTTTTTTTTTTTTTTTTGAGACAGAGTCTTACTTTTTCACCCTTGGTAGAGTGCTGTGGCGTCACAGCTCACAGCAACCTGCAGCTCCTGGGCTTAGGCATGTCTCTTGCCTCAGCCTCCCGAGTAGCTGGGTCTATAGGTGCCCACCACAACGTCCGGCTATTTTTTGTTGCAGTTTGGCTGGGACCCGGTTGAAACCCGCCACCCTCAGTATATGGGGCCGGCGCCCTACCCACTGAGCCACAGGCGCCGTCCTAGAAATGGGGATTTTGGAACTCATTGGTGCTTGACAGTTCCCTTGAGTGGTAGAACCTTCTAGGACTCTAAGATTGCCCAGATTGTGTATTAATAATCTTTGTCTCCTTAGACAGAAATCTGCATGACTTAGAAATCTTCCAAAAAGTCCTTTCCTGTTGATGTAAGAGCAAATGTGGTTTTTCATATTGTCTGTTGAAATGATGACCCATTTAAATATGTTGCAGATCTATGGGCCTTACAGGCTGTCCAGGGTGAATATGTGCTGAGTTTGTGTCTAGCACTGACAATTCAGAGTCTTCCCTGTCCACAGCAGTAGCTAGCTTGATTTTCAAGCCATTGCGGGCGCTCTGCTATGACCCAAGGTAGTTTCTTGGTAGTGGGGAGAATAGCCCTATTTGGGGGCTTTAGGAAATGATGGTTATAAGATCATGAAACTTCTCTAGAAATGTTTCTCAAGAGGTGCTGCCTTTGCCCTGAAAGCAGCTGTGTTTTTCAGTGTCTCATCATTGGAGCTGGGCCCTGTGGTCTCCGCACAGCCATTGATTTATCCTTACTGGGAGCCAAGGTGGTCGTTATTGAGAAACGAGATGCTTTCTCCCGCAACAATGTCTTGCATCTCTGGCCATTTACCATACATGATCTGCGAGGTCTGGGTGCCAAGAAGTTCTATGGCAAGTTTTGTGCTGGAGCCATCGACCATATTAGTAAGTAAAACCAGTTCCTCCTGCAGAATTCCATCCCCAGCCATGCCCACTTTTTCAGTAGAAAGGGAAAGGTAGATTATCTAAGGAATTCATACTCAACCCAATTTGTTCTAATCTTACTAGTATTCATCTGGTAGCAAGCCTACTCTGCTTGGAGTAAAAAAACCTTCCAGGCAGTGGTTCTACAATCTAGGACTCTTAATCACAAGTGCACTCCTATGAAAAGTAAATTTTGGCACCCAAATTTCTAAGTTAGGTCTTAGACTCCTGCTGAGCACTTGCAATGCTTGGGATTCACTCTGGGGCTGGGCGTTAAACAGATGACCAACTTGGGCCTGGATCCTCAGTGGTTCTTAATCCAGTAGAAGAAGTATGCAGGCATGAAACTCTCTGCCACACAGTCCGATGTATCCTCTGCTACTATAAGAAAAGGTGCTGTGGGACCCAGTCCTGGTGCAGACACATTAGAGAAGAAGCAGAGTCCTGGCTTGGTCATGAATGGCAAGTCAACAATGGGATTCCTTTGGTAAGGTGGTTCTCATGAAGTCTGCAGCCAGAATAGCTCCTGCTACACTCTTGTCATCACCAAGCTCAGCTTAGGCTTGTGCTTTTCTGAGCTCCTGTAGGATATAAATACAAGTTAATGCAGTCAGTGGTTTTTGTTTGACTGTAAGTGGCCAGTCTGAAAAGCAATTCAGAAGAGACAGTGTCTGTGTTATGAACTTGAAGTCTTTTTTTATTGATAATCATTAATGATTCCAAGAAAGCCTTATCAAGGAACCTTTGTTCTGGGCTCCTCCAGATGTGTCCTGTAAATATATTCAACCACTAAGCCTTGTCCTGTTTGAAGCAGTGGTGCCAGTTTAGCAAACACTGGCCAACAGCCGCCACATTCCTCTGGCAGAGGGAGCATTGCCCATCTGTTGGGCTGTAATTTGTAAAGCATCTTGGAACCCACAGTTGTCTGCAAAAATAAAATGTGTGCTAACCCAGGATTTAATGAGTCTTTGGTAGTGTGACTCAGAGGGTGGTGGTTGCAGTGAGCTGGAGAAAATAACCAAGATAACTTAGAGGATTTGCATGTGCTCCTAGCAGATTAGTCATGGGCCACAGGTAAGTTTGGTCTTAAGAGAAGACTAAAGGTCATTAATTCAGTGGATTTGTCTGCCTTCTGTGTGGCAGGATTCATCGGAGTGGGAGGGTGCTGAGAGGGTCTTAGATCAGGGACCAAATTGTTTTTTTTTTTTTTTTTTAACAACACATGGTTGTTATATTTTGTTTTAATAGACTTTATTTTTATTTATTTATTTTTGCAGTTTTTGGCTGGGGCTGGGTTTGAACCTACCACCTCCAGCATATGGGACTGGTGCCCTACCCTTTTGAGCCACAGGCACCGCCCCAGGGACTAGATTGTTATCTTTGTGTGCCTGACTTGGTTTTAATGTCTGGTACCTGACAGGTATCCATTAGATATTGAATACATAAATAAATCTCAATGTGATAATGAGCAAGATTTTTCAGTCATTTTGGGCCTCAGTTTCCACAGTTCTGGACTGATAGTGGGAGGGAGGATGGTAAGATACAGTTGGGTTGTGATCTCCTTTACTCACCTTCTAAGAATGTGTGAAGGTCAGTGAGGGCGTGGGATGAGAGGAGCTGAGTGTCTCAGGGAGTCACGCAGCAGCTTTACGTCAGACCTGTGGCACACATCTTTTGTCTCCTGCGGTATGATTGTAGATGCCGCTAGTGTGATGGCTCTGACCAGATAAGGGGAAGATGGAAGGTAGTCTCTCCTGTTGGCCACAACCCCATGTTGTCCTAGAGCTTTTGACTATCAGAACACCTCACCCAAGAGGTAGGAGTGGCCTACGTGTCTCTCTAGAACCTCTTCCAGCAGATCATATCTGTCCTTAAAGTAAAGGAAGAAAGAAGTTAGAGAGCGTGACTTGGAAAATGTTTCCTGCTACAAAAGGCTTTGTGAATCTGAATGAAGGATGCATAGGTAGAGGCCTGTGAGCCTGAGCAGGAGCTACTGACGCCACCTTCTCCATGTATCCCACCAATGTAATCTTCATGTTTCTCCAGGTATCCGTCAGCTCCAACTGATACTGTTGAAAGTAGCCTTGATCCTAGGCATCGAAATTCATGTCAATGTAGAGTTCCAGGGACTTGTACAGCCTCCGGAAGACCAAGAGAATGAACGTAAGTTGGATTGGATAAGTTGAAGAAAGCTTGAAAGGTCATGGAAGGGTGAGGAAAGGGAGAAAACTAGAGGCACCTGGGGACCATTTTCAGAACTAGCTAAGGGGGTGTCTGCCTGTGTGCAGCCTGTGCCCCTGAGGACTTGGCTTACTATTGAGGCCTTAGACATAGGATTGGACATCACAGTCTCTAGCATGGTGGGGACCAAAGGTCCCCTGTGAGTGTCCTTCAAGATTCGTTCTTTCTGTAATTTGTCCCCAGTGCTTTTTACATGTAGTGTTTTTGGCTAGGGGTTTTGTGCAGTCTCTATGCCTGGTTATCTAGACATGCTCTTGGATGTGTGAATGTGGCTGGGGTAATGACCTCTCTTTTGGCTTTGGTCCACAGGGATAGGTTGGCGGGCACTGGTGCATCCCAAAACTCATCCCGTGTCAGAGTACGAATTTGAAGTAATCATCGGTGGGGATGGCCGAAGGAATACCTTGGAAGGTACTGATTTATACTCCTTTGCCTGCTTGTGGCAGAGTGAAGGCTGGCCCTGTCCTAGCACTGACTGAGAGTTTGTGTCACCAGCGTTCATTCTTCTGAGAGTCTGTGTATGTGCTGTCCACTCTAGTTGAATGGCAAGCCTGCCTTCCTCTAGCCAGCTTATATGTGGGCTGCTTCTTACAGGACTCTCGTGTTAGGGCCCAGCCATACTTGGAATGCTTGACACCACTGCAGGATTTTTATTTTTATTTTTTTTGAGACAAAGTCTCACTTGGTCACCCTTGGTAGAGTGCTGTGGCGTTACAGCTCACAGCAACTTCAAACTCTTGGGCTTAGGCGATTCTCTTGCCTCAGCCTCCCAAGTAGCTGGAACTACAGGCACCCACCACAATGCCTGGCTATTTTTTTTTTTTTATTGCAGTTGTTGTCATTGCCCCAGCTGGGTTCGAACCCACCAGCCTTGATGTATATGGCTGGCACCATGACCACTATGCTACAGGCACTGAGCCACCACTGCAGGATTTGATCTACATGTTCATAAATAAGAATCCACCCCCTTTAAATGGAATCCCTAATAGTAATAGTTCGGTCGTTTATGTTTCAAATTGTTTGCAAATCTTGTGGAAGACTTTGACTTCTTCCAGAATTGTCATATTCTCTGAAAGCACCTTATTTTCAGATATAGGAGCTGCCATAAAATGTTTCTATTGATTGTTATCCCTCACTTTCCCTAAAGTCTTCCTCAACACCCCCTCTCATTTGGTCTTCCTTCCTGTCTAGCCAACTATTGCCACCTCTGAGAATTTCTTTCCCTCCAGGATTTCGGCGGAAAGAATTTCGTGGCAAACTGGCCATTGCTATCACAGCAAATTTTATTAACCGAAATACAACAGCGGAAGCCAAAGTGGAAGAGATCAGTGGTGTGGCTTTTATATTCAACCAAAAATTTTTCCAGGAACTGAGGGAAGCCACAGGTTGGTATAGACACTTCCAATACAATAAGGATAAAAATTCAAATAACCACTCATCACTTTGCTTTTGGGAGTTGGTAGGGTGGGTGGCCATTGGTGTCATTACCATGTGGTCTGCCCTGGCTTTCTCTTGACTCCTATTGCCTGTCCTTTGTGTGAGGCTTCCCACAGAACTCGTCTCCTACTCTAGTGTTCTTTTTTTTTTTTTTCCATTTAGCAGCCCACACAGTTTATTTAGCAATATAACAAGAGAGAACCTCCATCAGGATAGACATAAGGCAGGTACAGGATAGATCCCTAAGGTACATTCTTTATACAGACTAACAAATAACTTTAGATTCCACAACATGTGGCATACTCTAGTGTTCTTAATCCTCATCCCAGTGCTGGGGCTGGTCTGAGTTTTTTCTTTAGTTATTTACATGTTTTAAAATGTTTAATTCCACCTTTTACCATTCTTCCCCAGTGCTTTACTCTTTCCTGCAGTTTCTCAGTGTAGCATGCTGCTGCTCGGTAGTTCTCTGGTGTGACTCAGAACCTGACTTTAGGTATTAGTGTGTAGTCTTCTTTCTGAGTACCAGTTTGAGCTTGAAAGCAAGCCATGTGCCAGATAGGAATAAGATTATTGACTGATAGCTTTGGGATAGATTCACTTAGATATGTTGGTAAATGCACCTTCATTCTCTGTTTTCTAGAACTTGATTTCTTCCCAGCACATCTATTATTAGATTAATTGAATCAAGTCAGTGATTCACTCTTGGCTTTTAGGCATTGAATTGCTATCTTATTCTTAAGAATCTAGGAGATTCCTCCAATTTCCTTGACTGTCAAAGAGATTTGACCTGATAACTAACCCAAGCCCTCCTGTAGAGGTTATCTTCTTTTTGACTTGTTTTATTTTCCTTATTTGTATAGTTCCATTTACTCATTGTTTTGGGGGATAAGTTGGAGTGTCAAGTGAATTATGCAGCAATACAAAGAGAAACAGAGATTCCCGTATTTTCATTAATTGATTATACAGGAAACAAGAATCTGGGCTTAGACATCTTTCCCTGCCTGGAGTTTTACAAGCCCTATCTCATGTACGACCCATGTGTTACATTTCTGGCTGCCTGATGCACCTTTATCTCAGCAAACTCTTACATGCACATATTTGTTTTCTGGTCCTAGGTATTGATTTGGAGAACATCGTCTACTACAAAGATGACACCCATTATTTTGTTATGACAGCCAAAAAGCAGAGTTTACTGGACAAAGGGGTGATACTGCATGTGAGCAATGGATTTCCTTCAAATCTCTCTTTTGTTGAACTAGTTAATATGATCACTAAGAGAAAGAATTTTGTTGTCTGATGGGTTATTCCTACAAGGGAATGAAAGTGAGCACTGAACATATCTCCTGGTAACCCCTGATGTTTTTCAGTTTAACTTTAACAACTTTTGTGATGGATAAATTCAAATGTAAATAAAAGTGGGAAATAATGTAATTAAGCCTCATGTGCCCATCATCCAGCTTTAATAGTTATCAACATATGGCCAGTGTTGTGTCAGTAGTTCCTTACTCCACTTGTCCTCCTGCTGTGGGACTGTTTCAAAGATAGCATTTAATGCATATTCAGTCTAATTTCAGGTGATTCGGTTTGTGGTTCCAGTGAATTCCATATATGACCAATTATTGGTTGGTTAGTAGGTTACCTTTGGGGGGTGACAGAAGGGAAGGGTTTGACTCAGAAGCAATATCAGTGTTTGTGGAAGTTTCCAATGTTTCTGGTGTTACTTCAGTCATGGTATCAGAGGTCCAGTCCACATGGACCGGATCAGGGTATACTTAGGTCTCTGTGGCTGGACACCAAGGGCTTTAATATCCATTTTTAGCCACACCTAGCTGAGCCATTTTTCTAGGTGATAATTGCACAGCATACCCTGAGATGATGATCTTGAAATATGAAATCTGAGAACTACCAGATAGATGGTTCCTTAAAGTGGAACCACCTTTTTTTTTTTTAAGTCTTACTTAGTCTTGTTGGTCTAAATAATGAGAATTATTGTCACCATGTGACGAGAAGGTAGAAGCAAAAAGGCACCAAGCATGCTAATTTAGGCGATGTAATTCCCACCAGATTCCCTTCAGGGAATCCTTTTCCTTTGCAGGATGATGATGAATTAAGTCACTTGGTCTGCGTAACACTACTCCCTTATCTAGGGCAGGATGGGGATCAAGGGACAAGCACGTGCCTGCTGCACGAAGCTCCTTTCCACCCGGACCCCTGTGCCTGCTTCTCAGCACAGTGGTCCTGTGTGTGCAGGGAGAAGCAGCACAAAGCAGTTTGTATAGCCCGTGCTGCCAAGAACATAAGCAAGACGTGTTTGGTTGACTGCCTTGTAGAAGTGGTTTGATGATTATCTAGGGCTCTGTTGGGGTTACATTGCTATCCATAATGAAACACCTAGGAGTGGTTGGTATGCCTTGGGACTAAGTGAAGACCTAAAGCTACCATCAAGACAGAATGGTATTTATTAGTAGAAATTAGATAGAAACAATGGAGAATGCCAAGACCAGATTTAGTTTTCCTTTTTGTAAATTTTTTTCGAGAGCAGGGGCCATGTCTTCTGTGCATGCTGCTACACACTAACTAAACCTATTGTGGCCACTTGCTCAACATTGAACAAACAGTATTCCCAGAACCAACTTGAGTGTTTGTATTTTGACTTTTAGCATCTTGTAGTGGTGGTTGAAAGTACATGAGGGGCACTTGAAAACCATAGGCTCCACTTTAACAGAATAAAGACTTGGCTCAGTATGCCAGGAGCCTCCAAAACAGCAAAGGAGTTTTGTAGTTCTTCATATGAAAAGCCCCTCTTCTCTCATCATTGTTCTTCTTTGTTGGTGGATTTCTATAGAGCCTTTCAGAATCTTACGTATTATTTTGAAAACCTCTGTTCCATATTTGGTATGTTCCTTCCCAGCCTCCTTTGTACCACTGTTGCTCCCACCTCTGGGTCCTTTTGGCACTAAGGCTTCTGGGTTCTTCCTCCAGGTCTGCTGTGCTACATAAGGCTGAGCCTCTCACACGGTCCTGTTGCTAAAAGCCATTTATCACTCCAAAGATGATTGTTGACAATAACAAATTATAAAATGCTCTTTCAGTTCACAAGAGTACCGTTTCTTAAATTCTTTTATATGATATTCAGAACAACTCTGTGAAGTGAATTGGACAGGAAGAAAGGGGAAACGATTTGCTCCAATGAAACGGAAGAGCTAAGAATATGTTTTTAGACAGAATATGTTTGTGATAGCTCTGATAAAGAGCCCTCCTCCCACCCATTCTAAATTGTGTAAAAGGTTTGGTTTGGGAATGCAAAATCACTTTAGGTGAGAGAAAAATGGTGAAACTGCTTTCTGTTTGCTGTGGGTGACATGATTCTGGCTGGCTGAGTTTATGTTCCCTGCTGGGGCTTTTCCATCTCGAGCCTCTTCTCTCTCTGGAGACAGGACTACGCTGACACAGAGCTCTTGCTATCCCGAGAGAATGTGGACCAAGAGGCTCTACTCAGCTATGCCAGGGAGGCAGCAGACTTCTCTACCCAGCAGCAGCTGCCGTCTCTGGACTTTGCCATCAATCACTATGGGCAGCCGGACGTGGCCATGTTTGACTTCACTTGTATGTATGCCTCCGAGAATGCCGCCCTGGTGCGGGAGCAGAACGGACATCAGTTATTAGTAGCTCTGGTTGGTGACAGCCTCCTAGAGGTGAGTGCTGAGGATGTCAGGGCTTTTTAGTGGAGGCAGTCATAGTGAATCTGGGCATCCAGGTGCGCAGCATAGGTCCCTATAGACGTTATAGGAAGCAGGGAAGAGTCACACATAGCTGAGAGCTTTAGTAAGTATGGTTGGAAATTCTGCAAGTTTTGTGCCTTGCCCCTCTACTAACTAGGAGAGTAGAGACGTTCATTATCAGAACAGTTGCCAAAAACTACTGTTAATAACACACTCTCTTTTTTCCTGTTTTAAAAGGTAATTTATTTTAATTCTTTGTTTTATGTCTCCCTCCCAGCCTTTCTGGCCAATGGGAACAGGAATAGCCCGGGGCTTTCTAGCTGCTATGGACTCTGCCTGGATGGTACGAAGTTGGTCACTAGGAACAAGCCCCTTGGAAGTCCTAGCAGAGAGGTAATGGGAAGTAGCCCTGAGTCCCTTCCATGAGAAAACCGGGAGATGGAGTGGTTCAGGCTCTTCCTTTTCTCTCTCCTTTCTTAACTAAAGATGTTTTCATGTTTAAGAGAGGACAGCAAGATACTATTTCATAAAAATCATAGAAACCTAAAGATTTAATCTACTGCTCTTTTCTTATCCCTTCCCAAATCAAATTTATTATTGATGGAGAAGAAATGAATGGTTTTGAATTCAAAGCAAACACCAAACTGCTTATAAACATTTCTCAAATCCCTAAATATCAGATGTTTTGAAGCAGATTTTTGCAAATGATACAAAAATCCTAGGATTTTCTGGATGATAAAGAACTAATGCCTTGATCAGAAGAACTGGAGAGATTAAGATTTCCAGGGTGCAGTCGGGAGTTGATATCATTTTATCATTATGTTACTTAAGGCATTCTAGTTAAATGTGGTGGCAGGTTCTCCTTTCATCTATGATTTTTTTTTAAACTTAAAAATTAAAAGTAAATATTGGTGTACTTGAAAAAAAAAAACCCACTGAATTAGTTGCCTTTTAGATGAGAATCAGGCTGTTCTTACTGCTCATGACATTGTACCTGTTCTTCTCCTTGACTCTTGTTAACCAGTCAGTGCCTGTGGGACGAATGAGGCAGTGGGTATGGGAAGCAAGGGCTGGTACAGAGTTTGAGGAAACTGGTCAAGAATGAAGATTTGTTGTATATTTTAGATAATTTGGTATACTGTCAGAAAACAAAAATACTATAAATGGAGACAGCTGCTTGTCACTGCTCTGAGTATATTGTTATATGTCGTTGCAGGGAAAGTATTTATAGGTTGCTGCCTCAGACCACCCCTGAGAATGTGAGTAAAAACTTCAGCCAGTACAGCATCGACCCCGTCACTAGGTATCCCAATATCAACGTCAACTTCCTTCGACCAAGCCAGGTAAGAGCCTTCTAGTTCTTTTATCTGCATCTGGGCCCATTGTTAGAACCCTGATATATTGAAATGTATAAAACTATTAATACCAAACATATATAGGACACTTTTTTTTAGTCATTCAAGTAGATGTCTCTTTAAATCGGTGATAGTAGATACTATTTTCACATTATTTTCCATCAACAGATTGAGCAGCTAAGGCATAGCGTTGTTGATTGACTTGCACAAGTTCAAACATGACAAAAAATGGTGGATCAGGACTTTATCCCGCACCTCCTGATTCAAATCGTGTATTATAGGGGAAAGAGCACCTGTCCAGTAGTCAGATGTGACTTCCACTTGCATTATTGTCCTAATTACTTGTGATTTGGACAGGTCATTTCGCTTTCTCTGAACCTCGGTTTCTTTACCTGAAAAATGGGTGTAATAATCCCTCCCTACTCACAAGATCATTGAAAGATATTATTACCACTGTCAGTCAGTCTTTCCCTTCCCTTTTCCCTTTCCCTTTCCGTGGTATCACAGCTCACAGCAACCTCAATCTCTTGGGTGTAAACGATTCTCTTGCCTCAGCTTCCCAAATAGCTGGGACTACAGGTGCTTGCAATTTTTTTTTGTTGTTGCAGTTGTCATTGTTGTTTAGCTTGCCCAGGCCAGGTTCGAACCTGCCAGCCTCGGTATATGCGGCCAGCGCCCTATTCACTGAGCTACAAGCATCACCTATCAGTTGATTTTTTTATACTTTTGAGTGGTTTCTCAGAATCTCTAAAGCTTTGATACTGCAGTTAGGATGACTCTTACAAACTGTAATAATCCCAAAGAGTAGAGCAATTGTTAGAAAGCAGCCCATTTGATGTATTTGCCTATATTCTAGTGTGATTTTTAATTTGCCCTCTACTTGAAGTTCATATCTTTAGGTCTTCTATACATACCTGTGGTAAGTTCTTATAGTTGTTTGTAAAACCTGCTATTAGCAGGCAGCATCATGGTCCAACAGGGACCTCCACAGCCAAGTAACTAAGCTTTAGCACACCTTCTTAGAGTTAATATGCATTTGTTTCTCTGTAACTCCACCTCATTCCATAAAGAATGTAACAGTTGTCATTGTAACTTCACTCTAAACTTTTTCCAACCTGCTATCCCACTCTTTAATCTTCGCCATTCTGCTCTGAGGTGGGAATTTATTATTTGATGTTGATTTTCATTCTGTTTGACTTGGTAACTTTCCGGCAGGTGCGCCATTTATATGATACTGGAGAAACAAAAGATATTCATCTGGAAATGGAGAACCTGGTGAATTCCCGAACTACCCCAAAGCTGACTCGAAATGGTAAGTTCTGGCAATGGCCTTTTGAAATGCAGATAAGCTAGTCAGAGAAATCTTCGCTTGTTTATTGAGCACACAGCTCAATGCACAAGGCAGGTCCCCACAACGCCAATACCTTGGTATAAGTAAGGTTTAAGACAGTATAGAGATAAATCAGATACATACACTGGAAAGGTTGTAGGGAGAAAGAGGAAGAGAGCATGAGAGTCTTTGCGGGAAGACTACAGAAGAATTGGTGGCATTCTAGCTAGGTCCTGCAGCACTGCCAGGATTCAGTGAGAAAGGCAATCACCACTCTGTATGTTGTATATACTGAAGGTGTTTTTTGTTTTTTTGTTTTGGGGGTTTTTTTTGCAGTTTTTGGCCAGGGCTGGGTTTGAACGTGCCATCTCCGGCATATGGGGCCGGTGCCCTACTCTTTTGAGCCACAGGCGCCACTCACTGAAGGTGTTTTGAAAGGAGAGTAAAGTGAGCACACCTGAGAACATAAGGAGGCCTGGAGAAGGGAAATGCCAGAGATGGGGAGATGAGTTAGAAATGCAGTGCAGTGGTCAGGCTAAGGGTGAGAAAAGCCCAAATCTGGTCCTGAAAAGCTGGGGATGGAAAAGGGAGAGAGAGGGTGGTGGAGAAGAACTTGGACTTTGGGGCCAGATACAACTGGGTCCTAGTCCAGGCTTTGCTATTTGTGAAGTGTATGGCCTTGAAGAGATGATTGAACATCTCTGAATTTGAGTTTTCTGGTCTACGAAGTTGGGGGTGATCGTGAGGGTTCTGTGAGTACAGAAAGTGCTTATTATAGTGCTTGGCATTTAGTGGGTGGTCCTTGCCATTGGAATCATGTGACAGAATATTAAGGAGCCAGAATCCATAGGCATGGGCAGTTGGTTGCCCTGTGGGGCAAGAGGCAGATGTTTGTGGATGGTGTTGCATTGGTGTGGGTAAGGCAGGGGAGAGCCAAGAAGGTATGAGAGAAGTTATGAATTGTGTTTTGGACATTTGGAATTTGACATATTTTGGTATATCGAGGTGGACACGAGGACCAACAGGCAGTTGGAAACATTTTCATTTTTTTCTACTGGGCCATCATTTCCTAGAAAGCAGAGAGTGTATCTTTAGTCACTGTTCTTATTTTAGAGCCTAGAATACTGAAGTTGTCCAATACGTATTGGATGGTTGGATATACAGACTTGGGAGGCATCTGAATAAAGTTAATTTCTGAGCCAAGAGATGGCACTAGAAGTGGTTCTGTCTGTAGTTTCAGGGTATGTTTTCACTGTGAAGGACTTAAATGAAACAGGATTTTTATGATACACAGTTTTTATCTTATGTTCACAAATCACTAAATGACTTAGTACAAAGCTAAATATTTTCAGCTGCTTTAGGTAAGGGAACAGACTTTCTTGGACACAAATAGGAGTTCACAGATTCTCTGAAATGCTTCATCTCAGAGCTTTTCTCATGTAAGTAAGAAAGGGATTTTTAAGAAGTTTATTTGGGTTTTAGGAGATTTATCGAAGAACTATAAAACATGCATTTGCCTATTCAGTTTTTTAAGATGTGACAGTTTATAATACAAGGTGCCAGAATTGGTCTGAGAGATTATCTGGGGTTTTTGGCTTTGTCAGTGTAACTCTACAGAGTTTCATCACTTGGCAAATTGCTGACTGCCTTGGAAAGTGTAAGAGTAGACTTTGTTTGCTTTTAGTTGAATGTGCTGCTAGATAGAATGGAACTTTTCTTATCTGTTACTTTGGAGAGAAAAGGCTTCCTCAGCCACTTGCCAAACCACTCTCTAGGGAAATCTTAGAACTGTGCAAGTGAGGGTGCTCACACAGTAGGTGGCACTCTTCCCTTTAAGTCAGGGTCCATGAATGCCACGGGGACACTGGGCTCTTCAGTGTGGTCAGGTCCAGACCACCCCAGGTGTGATTTATCAGTCTTTGAGGGGGATGGTCATTGACTTCAGAGTCTGGATAAATTGGTAGTTTCTCATCTACCTACAATCTCCCTATCACAACTCCAGGTCCATAAATTTATTCACTTTTCTTTTGAAATCTTGTAATAACTATTTTGTCCCTATAGTGAGTAATTTTTCACACTGGATATGTGTATTGCAGCAAGGATCCTGTGGCCTGTGGTTACCAGGTGACCACACTTCCAATAATAATTTTTATTGTTTCAGAGTCTGTAGCTCGTTCCAGCAAACTACTGGGTTGGTGCCAGAGGCAGACAGACGGCTACACAGGGGTAAATGTGACAGATCTCACGATGTCTTGGAAAAGTGGCTTGGCCCTTTGTGCAATTATCCACAGATACCGCCCTGATCTGATGTAAGTCCTGACCAACTTTGTGTTTAATTTTATATTCTCCAATGATCTCAAAGTACCTTTCAAGTCCTTTCTCCTAGAATAAGGTAAATAATAAGACTCTTCCTCTAGAAGGCAGTGATTTAGATTTAGTTCTTTTTAAGTCTATATATCATGCGTTATATAGCTCAACCCAGAAATGATGAGCTAAATGTTTAAAACCATAGCACTCATAAGTTAAAAACTGGTTTTAACACCCACGTGGGCCTATTAGCTTCACGCAGAGGAAAACTGTTTATTGGCCCTGGGTTGAACTCTTCCTTTTAGCCAGCTATCTCTCAAACCCTCTTGATCACAAGGGAAACCTGGCTAGAACATTTGGCTAGCTGAAGGCAAATACGTCACTACCAACAAAACAAAAAACAACGAATACTTCCCCAATTTATGGTGGTTCATTGGCATTTTCTTTTTGTTAAAGACCACACTTCTTGCAAACATACTCTGTCAGGCCCACAAAACTGACATCATCTTACCCACCTATAATAGTAACATCTCTGGCCATTCGCCACTGCCTTGTCTATAGAATCAGTAAGTACACTAGGAGGACCCCAGGTCAGCTGCAGGGACCAGTGCCCTCAGATTTCGCCCATCAGCATTTGTTACCATGGAAGCCAAACACAAAGATTCAGAAACAGAAGCAGAGAAGGTTGGATTATTTTGGCTGCATGTCCTTTTTATCATTAGGTCCACTTAAGGGCCTAGTGTCTGTTTGTTTTGTTTTAATGATTGCTTAAGGAATCATAAAAGACATAGGCCTTATTTATATGATAGTCATAAGCTA